GGTACTAGGATCACTCCTATATTTTAGGTGAGCATATACAGAGGCTCAGAGTTATTTTTCCAAGGCCACTCAATGAATGATGGATTCAAACACAGCACCCTGATTACAGAGTCTGTGCACTTGACCATTTGTCTGTCACAGAGTTAACTGTCAGTGTCATTACAATTCCCAGCTTAGCAACAAATACTAGTAAAAGGCCTCACACCATTTTCCTGAAGAACACAGATCTACCAACACACACCTTTATAAATGGGGAAGGACCATACTAACTGGAATGGTCAAGAACATGGAGTGTTTTAGGTGATTAAAATTTCTCAATTTCGGAAGCTTGAACAGAAACCGTGTTTTAAATTAAAATCCTGTTGTTGATAATGGTCCCTAGTCCCACTTTTTTCTTTAATATAAGAAAATAAACTTAACCTTTCTTTGATTTCTCAATCTGAAAAAATGGCATTTCTGTTTGCTATCAGAATGAAAGGAAGATATAAGAGATAAGAATGCAAACTTCAGTGTGTTCTAAGAGGATTTTCCTTAAATAGAAAAAATGTCCTTTCCTACTGGTTTTCTTATGATTCTCTGGCCCATCAAGTGAGATAAGGAAAGACCCATTTCTACATTTGTACATTTCCTAGATTTTAGCTAATTAAGGTTTAGTACAGTGAGTGACTTACGTAGGAATCTTAAGATATAAATCTTATTTTTAAAACATAGTTTAATACCTCAGGTTTTTTTTTAAAAATTTTATTTTGAAGCTTCCTTAAAAACACCTAAAAGAGAAAAATAAGTCTTTCACATTCTGTACTGTATTAATGGGCATTCGACTAAGATGCAAATTGGTTGCAATGTGTTGTTTTTACTTCCTTTTGGCAGTAATGGCCCATTTACTTCCTCTTTATTATATTTTCTAGAGAAAACACAGCAATAAATTATTTATTAGGCTAATGTTCCCAATTTGGAAGATATACTGATATATACCATATTGAGAAGAACATTTAATTTTTTGTATAATATAATCTAATAGGACAGCTTGTCCCTAATCCTTCTTTTCTTTTATTCCTTATTTCCTCTGCCAGAAACCAAAAAATTTCTAGTACATTTCAAAACAATGAGAATTATATATGAAAATAACAAGAACAGATCCCTGCATTTCTGTACACTCGGAAATAGTCAAAGTACTTTCAAAGATGAGATCTGTTTAATGCTTAAAAGCAATCATTTGAGACTGGCCAGAAGTCACATAGCTAGAGAGGGAGGAAGAGCCAGTGTCAGAGGGCTGATTGGTAGAACTTCTGCCCCAGAACTCAGGAAGCTGCTACAGTATTAGTGAAGTATTTAAGAGCATGGATGGATTCCTGTTTGTTAGACATGGAATTGAGTCCTGGTTCTAACTGTGTGACTTCTGCCAAGTTTGCTCATCCAGAAGAGAGGCTAATAATACCCCCTTCTTCACAGGGTGTTTGTGAGGACAAATCAGAGGGCTTAGCAGAATGCCTGGCATGTGGTGAGCACTCACTACATGCTATTGTTATTTTTATTATTTTATGGTGTATACCTCTTCAAATTCTTTTCCTTACTAAAACTTTGCCCTCTGGTCTCACTGCAGTTTTCTAGCTTTGTTTATTCGTCACTTCAAAGCCTGCCTCCTCAACCAATGCCTTCCCACGGATCCTGAAGATCATTGTGTCCTTGACTGTCTGCCCTGTGTTTCTTCTATCGTTTGTGAAGGTGAAGATGAAGTCCCAACACATTGTGTCTTATCTTAAGGGAGCCACGGAGCTTAAAGGATCCCTTAGAGGGTCCTTTCATTCCTGCTGACTTCTATTTGCATTCCCTACCATAGTCATCCTTAAACCTCTTCCTCCACCTGAAGTCACTAGTTCCTCCTTCATATCCATTGCTTTCAGCAGAAGATCACATACCCTGATTTATGCTTAGAACACTGAAGTCATATGCTCTGAACTCCTTCAATGCCCCTGTTTTCATCCGACTTCTCCTTGTCTCCATCGTTTTCAAAGAGCAAGACCTCTCTTCTGTTGCAGCCATCTTGGAAATAATGTTTTTCTCCTTTGGAATATTGTTTCAACTATTTTATGTCTCATTTGCATTTGTTTTCCCCAGTTCCTCTCAATTTGTCCCCTTCTGCATTTGCAGAAACTGCTCTGCCTGCTAGGAATTTTCGTTCTTTATCCCCCCCTTGAAGATTGAGTTCTGTTTTGGTTAGTTGCCCTTCCTCTGCACTCCCATAGCTGCCTATTGCCTCCACCAAGTATCTGAGTTTCCCAGGGAAGAGCACCAGGTCTTTGTAGACACAAAATCAATACTAGTTGAAGAAGGGGAGGTCGTACAACTAAACATACGTCTTTCCTACAATTTAAGAATAGACTCTGCTTGACCCTGCTATTGCCTTCTGCTTGCTCTTCCTTTGACAAACATTCTACTTCCTGATAACACATTCCATTGCACTTTAACATCTGACAACACTATTAAATCCATTGGAGCTGCTCTTGAAGGTCAACAAAGAGCTTCGACGAGGACCACATTCTCCTTTTTGATGCCCTTTCCTGGTTTTTATGACACTGTAATATTGACTGTCAATGTTTCAATGACCTTAACCTTCCTTGTCTCTTTCTCGTTCTCTACTGTGTGTATTCACCAACATTTAGTGCATTCACTGCCTCTTCTTTCACCTGTCCTCCACGAACATACCTACTCTTGGCTTTAGCCATCGCATCTATGCAGATATAGGCAATGTTTATTTCTATTCCAACTAGTGTCCCAATTACCAAGATCAACTTCTGGATTTTCATTCTTTCTAGTGCCACAGGGCAAATACCTGGCACTCACCCAAACAGATGTTGTCTCACTGAGGACAAGTCATGCCACTTTTCTAGGAAGGACAGTTCCTTCTCAGAGTCCTCATTATTCACTTCTACTCCTTGGCACAAATTGTTCCACGTGCCCAGAATTTTCATTCTTCACTTACTCCAAGCACCTTCTTCCTGGAGAATGGTGTGAATCCTACTAGTCATTCCTGTGATAGAACATTCACTCATTTTTTACCAGCATATCAAACTCAGCATGTTTAAAAGCCTTAGCTTTAGCCTAACACCTACTGCTGCCCAGGCTAGTTTTGTGTCTTGCTCCACTTTTGCTCAGATGACTGGAAATCATCCTTGCCTCTTATATTCTACCCACTTAGGTGGCAAATCTTATTTATTCAGCTATTTCTCTCATGCATTGTTTCCTTTCTATTCTTTGGGTTACCATTTCAGTTCTCTTTTATTATACATTATGGGCTATAATAATAGCTGGTCAACTGGTGTTCTAATTGCGAGGTTCTCCCTGTGCTAAGCCACCTTCCCTCCAGATCAATCTTTCTAGACTAAAACTTTGGTTATATGACTCTCCAGCTCAGACCGGTTCAGTGGCTTCCCATTACTAGGTGCCTGATTCTGAGAAATTTAGTAGAGTAAAAGTATCTTTGATTTTTGGATTCAGAAAGATACGGATTCAAGTTCTGGCTACTACACTTAACTATCATGTGACTTTGAACTTATTGCTTAATTTTTATTTACTTGCTATTCAAAATATATTTGTTTAATACCAGCTGTGTTCCAGACTTTGTGCCAGGTACTTGGGATACAGTAATGAGGCAAATAGATATTTTCCTTGCTATTCTGGACCTCACAACATAATGGACTTGTTCCTATTTCTCACAGTCATGATGCTGTATGTAGGCTTTGGTCTGTGCTACATGGGGTAGTGTAGTGCCATGTAGCATAGTTACCAGATATGTGTGCTCCTGCTTAGCCATGTTTTGGGTTCACTGAAGAGCAGAGGCCATGTCCCACTCCCCACAGTGCAAGCACAGAGCTTTGCACATACCAGTTGCCTAATGACTCTCTTGTGGTTTTGTGGACCCATGGTTAGTCTTTCGCATAGATAATACTGCCTAATATGTTTTGAAAGGCTCCCTTTGTCCTATAAAATGAGTCTCTCTTTTAAAAAAGAAAAGTAATAGCTACTGAAGTTTCTTTCATTCTAAGGCCTCCCCTTTCCAACATACTATCTTGCCTAAAGCTATTATAAGTAGAACTCACGTGCTTAAAACTTGTGTACCTTACATTTTTAAAAGCTGAATAACAAATCCAGTCATGCCTCCTGGTAGAAATATTGTCCATGTGCATACAAATGGAATGTTAAAATAATGTTCTTTTCTAATAGCTTTTTGACTTGGTAATGAACAATATGTTGTTTTTCCCTGAGAAATACTTCTAGGACTTCAGTTCTGAAGATTATATTTTATTTTATCCATTTTCAGCCTACTGTTTTCAGGTCCCAGTAATCTTACATTAAGCATTTGTCTGTCTGAAACAATAGGTTAACTATAGCCAAATTATAACTGTACCTTTCCTCTGCACACAAAATCCTCTAAACAGCATGTGATCATATTGCTCCTAGAATTTATGATTGTTTTCTTCCAAAAGGAAGCTAATTTTAGCCTAGTAATTCTACATACTCCCAAGGAAACAATACCTGCTGTAATTTCTAGAATAAATTAATCTGAACCACAGTTCCTTTACTTGACTAACCAAGAAAGATTAAATATCAACCTAGTCATTAGTCACAGATATGAAACCACATTAAACAACCAGCAATGAGTTAAGAAAGAAATGTGCTATGCTTCTTATTTCACTGCTGAATGAGTCTCACATAGTTACTTCATGGATCTTAATACAGGACATTGTTTGCATCTCGTACTGGTTCTCTAAAATTACTCGTTCATGGCTTGACTTCTAAAATTAAACTATGTGGAGTCATGTCCAGTCACACAATGCATCTTTATGTGAAGCTAGTCAGAGATCTTTGTTTTCATTCTATGTAAAAATTCCAGTTAGGAAGCCTCCAATAATTTAACTGGGATAGTTGTTGCCATTTAATTTTTTTTCTTTACTTCTAATGACAATTAAACTGCCCTCATCTTGTACATGTTTTGACAGGTCAACTTCTCACAATGAAGGCTTCTGCTGTGCTTGCACCTGGAATCCTCATGCTGCTGCTTACCTTGGTGCAGAGGAGCAATGGGGAGTGTAAAGAGGCCCTGGTGAAGTCCGAGATGAATGTAAATATGAAGTACCAGCTTCCCAACTTCACTGCCGAAACGCCTATCCAGAATGTGGTTCTACATGGGCATCATATTTACCTTGGGGCCACTAACTACATTTATGTTTTAAACGACAAAGACCTTCAGAAGGTGGCTGAGTACAAGACTGGGCCAGTGTTGGAACACCCAGATTGTTCTCCATGTCAGGACTGCAGCAGCAAAGCCAATTCATCAGGGGGAGTTTGGAAAGACAACATCAATGTAGCTCTGCTCGTTGACACATACTATGATGATCAACTCATTAGCTGTGGCAGCATCAACAGAGGGACCTGCCGGCGACATGTCTTTCCACCTGATAATACTGCTGACATACAGTCAGACGTTCATTGCATGTTCTCCCCACGGGAAGACGAAGAGCCCAGCCAATGTCCTGACTGTGTGGTGAGTGCCCTGGGAGCCAAAGTTCTCCTGACCGAAAAGGACCGGTTCATCAACTTCTTTGTGGGCAATACTATAAATTCTTCTTATCTTCCAGATCATTCATTACATTCAATATCAGTGAGAAGGCTAAAGGAAACGCAAGATGGTTTTAAGTTTTTGACAGACCAGTCCTATATTGATGTTTTACCTGAGTTCCGAGATTCTTACCCCATTAAGTATATACATGCCTTTGAAAGCAACCATTTTATTTACTTTCTGACAGTCCAAAAGGAAACCCTGGATGCTCAGACTTTTCACACAAGAATAATCCGGTTCTGTTCTGCAGACTCTGGATTGCATTCCTACATGGAAATGCCTCTGGAATGCATTCTCACGGAAAAGAGAAGAAAGAGATCCACAAGGGAGGAAGTGTTTAATATCCTTCAAGCTGCATATGTCAGTAAGCCTGGAGCCAATCTTGCTAAGCAGATAGGAGCTAGCCTGAATGACGACATTCTCTACGGGGTGTTTGCACAAAGCAAGCCAGATTCTGCAGAGCCAATGAATCGATCTGCCGTCTGTGCATTCCCTATCAAATATGTCAATGAATTCTTCAACAAGATCGTCAACAAAAACAATGTGAGATGTCTCCAGCATTTTTATGGGCCCAACCATGAGCACTGTTTTAATAGGGTAAGTCACATGGATTCCCCATTTAAAAATTGTGAAGTACAAAGTGTAAATATCAGTCTAGAAAGGAAACCAAGGGCAAGAAAATTAAGAAATTGGATTCTCATCTGCAACTAAAATCATATCCTCAGAAGTTAATGTGGTAACTAAAAGAATATTTTAACAATTTGGATTTGCATATCTATAACACTTTTTTTTCTTTTAGATTGGCAATGATTGTACTAAGATGAAATGTTGAAGTGTTAGGAAAATTCTTAGTGCTTTGATTTAAATATAGAAAAATCTACCATCTATAACCAGAGGATTTCCTGCTAGTCATTTGATCATTTGGTGCCAAAAGAAAAGAACCACTCTGAGATTCCATTATGACCTTGAGTGTTACTGTATTGAACCCAGATTTGTGCATTTGGGTCTGGCTGTGCTTCCTAACATGACAGGTAGTAATCATAACTGAACAAACAGTATAGCTTTTATAGCTTTTCTGAAGATGGTTTGACTTTGGAAACATGCGGCTCACTCTAGCAGTTTTCAGTCTAAGAAATAAAAGTTATTGCTACAAGTAGGAAGATCATTAAATATGTCCTTTATTGTTGTTGTTTTTTTAAAACAATCTCACTCACTAACTTTGCCTGAGCTGTCATTGAACTCTTGCCTCTGCTTCCCATGTACTTGAGATTACAGGCAAACAATACATGTCCAGTTTTAGCTATGTTCTTGAGACAAGAAAGTATATAATTTTATAGAGGTGTTTCAAGGGCGTACAAATTCAGAAACATTTGGTTGAAATTTGATGAAATGTCTGTTTCCTTCCCTAGAAGGAAACTCCAGTTAACTTTTTATGATGCTAGGACAATACTGAGAAAGTCAGCTCATCTTATGGAGAAATAAAGATAAAATTTCTCCCTTTTCCTTCAAAGTCCATGAACGTGCATAACATCCATACACATACATGCCAACTAAGGCTTATTTTCCCTGCCTATGTTTAATATGTGTTGCAAACTATGTAAGAAGCGATGGAATTTTTCATGAGGCTGCCCTTTTTTCACTAGAAAATAGAAAAGAATGAAAAGAAGCAAAAGGGCTTTCAGAACCTGAGATCAGGAAATAATCCTAATTTCACATCCAACAAACAGTTTCAGAAACAAAAATTTAAAAAGAGCCTATTGGAAGCTCCCCAGGGTTTCTAGAGCATATAACACTGCTACTTAAATCTTGTTCTACTAAAACTTAGAAAGAGACTTGTCTCCTCTAGGGTATATTGATATCTCACTGGGTTATTTTGTACATTTCAACCCCTAGATATAAAAGTTCTTATTGATTCTAGAAATTCTCAAGACCCATCTGAACTTTATTTTACCCCTTTGACTATTTTAGTGTTCCAAGGGGAACAAAGAGGCATGATTGTCCAGTAAAATTTGGGCCAGTTTTATCAAGCAGGAAAAATGCCCAAAATGCCACACCTGAAACCATTATCACTCCCATCACAGAAATTCTTGTGGGAAACAAGATGGAACTTGCCAACATAGTCTTCTTACAAAAGAAGCCAAGTTTTGCATTGGCCAGATTCCATAAAGACAAATACCTCCGAATCTCCTTTCCTATTTGTCTGTTTGCCTTCTCTGGTTACTGAAGATCAAAATACTTCTGAGACCAAGGCACACATTCTCCTTTTTCATATACCAGGTCCACAGAAAGACCTTGAAGTATTTCGAATAATCATTTCCCAGCTTTGTCTTAAAGTCAACAAGAACATTCATCACACAAAAACAAAATGATTTACAAGATTGAACCTGTTAGAAAGTCTCTAAGCAATAAGATGACTCCATTTTGTCTTGGCTGATAAACTTGGCTGCATATGACATGACCCTTCTATTAATATTTTGGAACTGAGTTTTTATTTTGGCCTGAAGTTTAGGGACTAGACATACATACTAGTTTTGTTCTTAACTGCTCTAATTCGTGGATGGCCATACTCTGATGGGCTCCTTGGACAACCTTAATGAACCTAATGAAAGAAGACTAAAGGTAGAGGCCTGGATTCAAGTCTGCACCCCTCTATTCTCTATGTAGATGGCTCTGAGAACATTATTTATATTCTGTGAACCCATCTTACTCCATGCAGGATTTATTAGGTGGACAAAGATGATAATATCCATAAGAAGCCCAACTTTGTCCTTGGCACATAAAAAATTACAGCTATTATAAGGAATATCTGTGTAAAGAAAGGGAAATGCACATGATTGGATGTTTTCTGCAAGAGGCATATATTCTAGTTCCATTGCTCATGAGGTTCTTCCACTTCCCTTCCTGCCTGTCTTGAGTGACCCACCTCCACAAAGCTTAATTTGTTAGTGCCTCTTAATGTTTAATATTTAAAAAAACAATGTGGTGAAGGGTGTTGGTAGTTTAGGTGGACAGAGAATGGTGAGCAAAAAAACAATTGAAACAAAATTATACTCTAGTCAAGAAGGAAGTTTTGCTTCTTTCCTTGACTTAAAATTGTAACTACCTGGGGCACTGTAGAGATATTCTCTAGTTCAAACTTTGCATTAAGAATTTACAGATAATGCAGCCTTAGAAAAGGTCTTCCTCATGGGCTGTTTATATCAAGCTTCCTTGTTTTTAAATGTCATTTATACTCAAATCAAAGTAACCAACTACTTCCCAAAATAAAGGAAACTTAAGGTGGCAATTTTCCATCTGTGTTTCAGAGTGCCAAAGTTAAAGGGTCATCACTCAGAGCCATCAAAGGAAGAAAGCAAAGTGATTAGAACAATTTTCAATAGAACAAAGATCCAAACAAGATGTAAACAAGGAATAATAGTAATAGGCAGAAAAATAAACATAGAGTGATGTTTCTTTATTACTACTATAAAGATGATAGATGAGTAAAATTGAATTACATTTAAGTTGTAATGGAAGAAAATAATTGCAGCCTTCCATCAGGAAACCACAAGGACCATTATTGATCTGTCATCCTCAGGGCATGTCTTGTAATATTTAATAAAATAAACAAAGATTTATAACTCTTTATAGGCTGTATATCTATAATCTCCCACACTATTTGAACTGCAAATGTGGAGTCGATGTAACATCTATGTCATTGGGCTGGTTTGGCATGTCTTATTTAAACATCTAGCTCTCTCAAGAGAATGTATTTTGTATTAGGGATGAAAAATGTGAAGTCAGATTACAAAGTCTATTTTTTTTTTTTACATCCCATGCTCAGAAATGAGAGAATGTTATTCTATATGAAAAGTTTTATTGAGGATTCTTCATTCTTGATACTAGACAGTCCTCCAAACCTAAACACTAAATATCTTGGCCATGCGCCAAATATAATTGCTAGCTAAGCAAAATCTTGCATGAAAGAAAGTGCTAGAGGTGTAAGAATTTGATACACTTTACTCCAAAAACATCTCTAACTAGAAATTTATTAATTTTTCTTGTGTAGACTCTAGTCTCTCCTAGGTTCAGAGAGTCATTTTGTTTCTTAACTTACTTGAATTCCCCATGCTATCCATACCACACAGAGTAGTATATTGTATTTATTTTATTGTACAAAATTTGAAATGAGTTCCTTTCCAGAATTTTGTAACACTCTCTGAGCTCACTAGACACACCCTGGGTAGTAGAAAGCACATTACACAATGTGCCATTTGTGCCTCTTGCCTTGTTCCCTTGCTCCTGCTACCCTTTAAACATCACTTAGCTCATTCATAGGTCCACCCCAGGATAGATGAAAATGCAAAGGCATGATGGATGTTTTTATAAGCTAAAAGCAAGAGAACATAGTTAAAGCTGAAATTCAACCAAAATGTAGGTAGGCTTTACCTGTGGGTTATGTTAACTCCTGACATGATTGATAGTATCACCCACTTGTGTGGTTAATTAAGAGTGACATTTTAGATTAATTCTTCATTCTTCTTAATGACTTTTAATGCAGACAGTGTGATGTGTGTTTTATTTAAGTTGTTGATTTCTACTTGGAGATTCATTTGCTTAAATTGAGGTAGCAAACAATAAACAGTTCATGTGAGAAAAAATAAATCTTAAAGCTGACTTTTGAAAAGCCCAAATGTTAATAAAACTTCGAAGCCACTGCACAGATACATATTTTCGTGGCCATACTCCATGATTAGAAATATCTGAAAATATGTGGAATCCTCATTTTGGTAAGGATTTTTACTTGCTTGAGTAATAATGTATTTTTTACTCAGAATAATATTTCAAATTTGGGGTGTTACACCCTCCCTTCAGATTTCAGTCTTATCAGTGGCCTTCTCTCCCTGTGTTCTTATCTCCTCATTCCAACAAGAAAAACGAGAATCTGTCAGAATTTGGATAGAAAGCCCACTGGGAATTTCTGCCATTGCTTATTCATGAATTGGCACAGATACTGATTCAGTGGGTACATGGAGTCCAGAATGACTAAGTGCCCAGACATGTGCCATAAGTCACATCTCCAGTGTCCAAGGAGGGCTGTGAAGACTCAGATACTCTTGAAGTCATTAAAACTCCCTTGATTTTTTTTTTAAATAGTTAATGTGGTTAAGTGATTCTAGGATCCTGGATAAATTCTAGTCTGCTAATTATCTACATATTTTTCTAATGAAAATGTTCCAGGCAGGCTTATTTGCATATGAATTACTGGCTGAGCATTGTTGACTTCCTATTTTAAAAGCCAAGCTCTCTGCTTGGAGAAGCAGTTTACTATACCTCAGCCCAGACCAACACTAATGTTAGTGCAGATGAAGTGTGGCTATCCATAGACACTTCAAAATATTCTGCAGTCCTTCAACAAGAGGAAAGAAAATGCATGCTGATGTAGGATAAGGGCTTGTTTTAGGCATTCTTGGTGTTCACACATGGAGGGAAATGGTTATGAATAGTATAATTACAAAACCAAATGATACTTTTGAATTCAGATAATGTCTGCCTTCAGTTTCCTTGATTGGGTAAATCACCAAAATGTTCATCAGTCTAAGGACATTAAATGTGCC